GTAAGGTCACGGGGGGGGGGGGGGTTGAATGGGGGAGGTGGATGGTGGGGGAAAGGGAGGGGGAGAGGGAGGGGAGGGGGGAAGTGGTGAATGGGGGAGGTGGATGGTGGGGGAAGGGAAGGGGGAGAGGGAGGGGAGGGGGAAGGTGTGTGATGGGGGAAGAGGAGGGGGGAAGGGGGGAAGGGGGGAGGTGGATGGTGAGGGAAGGGGAGGGGGAGGCGGAGAGGAGGGGGGAAGGGGTGAATGGGAGAGGTGGATGGTGAGGTAGGGGAAGGGGGAGGGGTGAATGGGGGAGGTGGAATGAAGGTAAGGTCACTGGCAGGGGGAGAGGAGGGGGAGGGGTGACTGTGGGAGGTGGATGGTGGGGGAAGGGGAGGACAATAAGAGGTAAGATCACTGGGAAAATGGGGGAGGGGAGGATGTGTAAAGGAGGAGGAGGAGGGTGATAATGGGGGAGAGGGAAGGGGATGGTGAGAGGATTATGAAGAGTAAAGTCACTGGGAGGGAGGGGAGGGGGAGGTGGATAAGGGGGGGTGGGGGGGTACAAGGGAAGGTGGATACTTGGGGAAGTGGATGATGGGGAATAAGGGGGGGGGGGGGGAAGGTAAGTTAATTTTGGGGTGTGACACGTTAGATCGATAGATAGACGGATAAACAGGTAGATATATAGATAAAAGGATAAATATAGATAGATGGACAGATACAGAGACATGCACATAGATAGACAAATAGATAGATAGAAAGACGAACCACCGTTTTCACACATAAACCCTAAAGGACCTAATAGATAGATAGATAGATAGATAGACAGATAGACAGAAAAACAGACAGACAGAAAGACAGATAGATAGACAGACAGGTAAGATTCATTCACTGACTCACCCTTTCCACATAAAACCCAAACGGACCTATCCCTACCCCTAATAGATAGATGAATAGATAGACAGGTAGATAGACAGACCTATAAATAGACAGACAAATCGATAAACAGATAGACAAACTGGCAGACAGACAGATAGACGGAGGGACAGACAAATAAATAAATAACCAGATATCCAAGCAAACAGATATGAATGAGTGGCTAAAAATTCACCTGTCTATCTGCCAAACAAACAGACAGACAGGCAGATAGACAGAGAGACAGACAGACAGACAGATAGATAACCAGATATCCAAAACAAAACAGGTATGAACGATTGGCTAAAGTCTCATTCAGTGACCCACCCCTTTTAACGCACACAAAGAACCTCGCCCACAGCATACACAAAGGTGGCGGTAATCGAACCCAAGTTAAGACCGGAAGCTTGGCCCTCTCTGGCACTTCCGGCACTGCCCTTTGCCTCGAACTGCACATTAGGTCAATATCCTCTACGGACCCTCCTATTGCTATTCATATTTAAAGGTCTGTGTTGTTAGGTGGAAATAAGTATTAGAGTTGCTATTATTCTTGTTATTGTCATTATAGATATCGTCATTATTAATGTTGCTAATTATTATCATTATCATTATTATTATTATTATTATTATTATCATTATTATTATTATTATTATCATTATTATTATCATTATTGTTATTATTATTATTATTATTATTATTATTATTATTATTATTATCATCATCATTATTATTATCGTTAACGTTATCCTTATCATCATTATCACTATTATCATTATCATCATCATTATTTTCATTATCATTATTATCATTTATATCATCATTATTATTATCATTATTATTGTTATTATTATTATTATTATTATTATTATTATTATAATTGTTGTTGTTGTTGTTATTATTATTATCATTATTATTGTTATTATTATTATTATTATTATTATTATTATTATCATTATTATCATTATTATTATTATTATCATTATCATTATTATTTCGATTATCATTTGTGTTATCATTAGCATTATCATATCTTTTAAAATAATGTATAATGTTATCATTGTTATTATAATCATTATTTGTATCGTTTTTATTATCATTACTGCTAGTTTTAGTTTTATTACTGTTATCATTATTATAATCATCATTATTATCATCGTCGTCAGTAGCATTGTTGTATCGTTAATATGTTTTGCGATAATTATCTCTATTATCATCATAATAGTTTTTTCATCATGATAACTATCATTACTATTACTATTATTTTCATTGACACTCTTATTATTATCATTATATTACTATTATTACGATTATTATTATCATTGTTACTATTATTACTATATATTTCATTATCATTATTATCATTATTATTTTTACTATTATTATCATCACTATTATTATCATTGTAATCATAATAATGATTATTGATTATTGTCATTCTTAACATTATTTTATTGTTGTTATTGTTATTGTTATTATAATTATTACTATCATCATCAATATCACCAACATTACTATAATTTTTTTTCATTATTTTCATTAATATTTTAATCATCAACATTGTTACTATTATTGCCATAATCATTATTAACGTTATCATTATCA